GTTCTCCAACAACACTCCTCACAAGTAGTATTACTCTCCTAACTCAAGACAGAAAGCCACAGTTACTTTGATGCTGTAAAAGGAGAATGAAACAATGATGCCTCAGCAAAGCACTGATCATAAGGGTTGGATCTGGCTAAAACTGTTCCAATGTTAGAAAGGTTCATGGCTCCGGCTGCTGAAAGACATGAAAATACCTACAGCCAAGCATCCCAACGAAACTTAACAACAAAAATGCAAGAGATAAAATATATGAAAGAAGCTCCAACTCTAGAGATAAATGCCAGTGGAAGAGATCTGCCCCACTGGTGGGACACAAAGCATTGCTGTCGTGATAATTAAAGGTAAGTTTTCTGGGGAAATCCCTTCAGTCTATTTGTCAAATAGAAAAACAACTACTCATTTCAAAGGAAGGGGAATTTTCATAGCCAGTGCAGAAAACTGTCAACTAACTCTTACATTTCTATCTCTATTTCTTTAAAACTAAAGCTCATCAAAGATGTCCAACATCTAAAAAGTGAAGCCAAGTTTGGCCCCTAAGAAGTTTTGTACTAATCCTACAAGGGGACTTATGTCATCCCAAACAACTACAAATCACACGACAAAATTCATCCTTCAAATGCCTTGGTCTTTAAAAAGCAACCGTCTGGCAGTGGCTATAGCCCCATGGGTCAGCTTCCCCTGGTGTGTAACCTGACAAGGTACAAAGCCCACTGAAATATTTAACAGTGGTGGTATGGATTTCTTTGGATAGGTCAAGAAAAGCAGCTCATCCTTTTTAAAAACATAAAGAACCATTTTATGGGATGTCATTCCCTCAGTTCAAGAGTCTGTGCATTTCCTCGGGGCCTTCTCGGAGATCTTATTGAGGGGGAAAATGAAAAGGCCAACAAAAGGACCCCTTTTCTCTCCCTATTCCCAACATAATCCACCTCGGCCACAGAGCCAGTAGCATCCACACTGTCATAAATGCCAGCAATTAGAGAATTAGGCCATAAAACCACCCACTCAGGTATAAGAGCGCAGGTCTCCAGCTTTATTTAATGCATGCCATAAAGATCCTGTACTTCCTTCTTTCAGGCCTTCTTCACAACCAATGAAATGACAATAACAACAAAAAAGTAACCCTTTGTCTGCCTGCCTCATACTGATGTGATCAATGAAACCATCTGGGCCCAGGTGAAGGATTTAAGATTCCTTTTTCCTAATAAAGACTGCATTTCCTCTAGCATGCCGCATTTAGATCCATTAAAGGATAGGCTGCATTTTGAGCATTCGTATACTGGAAACTAAAGTGGAATTATTCTCCCTTCTTCTGAAACTACTCTAGAAGCCTAGCCAATTCCCAAACTTCGCAAGAAAAACTGGAACCTACAAGAGTATTCCTAATTAACTCAATAATTTCTAGAACCTCCCGAAGTCTTTTCTAATGAAAAAAGTTCATTCAAATCTCAAAGTTAATGTTCATTCGGTCTATGTTTTAAAATCTGATACAATTCAGGAGCTATCAATAATTTCATTTGATTATCTTCACAACCTACCAGTTCACAAAAATCATGAGTCTGTGATTTAATCCATGATAAAACTGTATTTATCAAACTTCAAACCAATCTAGGTAAGACCCAAACAAGTACTTTTTAACGGCGAGCTCTTTCCTACTAGTGCCCACGGGGTTAAAAACCTGATTAAAAAGCACAGGTAGGTTATGTCAGACTCATTAATAATTTAACCTTCCTTAATCCCTGAAAATAACATACGCAGACATCAGAGGTTCCCATCTCAGCAATCCTGGAGTAAATTCCTCCCAAAGTAGTGACAGTCACATAGCTTCCCCCTTTCTCAAAGGTCTATGCCACTGGGCTCTCCACCTTGGCAGAGGAAGAATGGAAAGACAAGATATTCACAAAAGGCCCTACCGAAGGCCTTCAAGTTAAGTGCTAGAAGGAAACTGAAGTCCTCTGCCAACACTAGTGGAATGTGGGCAGGCACAAAGAGATCTTAATTAGGAGACCTACAATTAAAACAGTGAGTCTCCAGAAGAGGGAGAGGCACTGCAGAGTGTTAGGCCTCAGAGCAAAGCAAAGTACCCTCGCCACCCCCTCTAGCTACAGGGCGATGGAGGCAATGGGTATCCGCTCAGAGGCTCTACAGAAGGGCAGCTTTAAGGTGAGCAAAGATATGGAAATGGAGTCAAGATGGGAGTATTTTCTCTTCTCAACTTCTAATCAGAAGGCAAATCACTATTTTGTGAACGATGGTTTCCTACGGGAGCACCGTGCCTTAAGACAATCAAATGGAAGGAAGAGATGGGGACATGTTATATGGTTCTCAGTGAGAATGAAGAAAAGTTCTAAAGACTACATTTCTGATGCTCAGTATAAACCAAAGTCCCACATTTCAGAGCCTATTGCCAGCTGCTCCCTGCAACACAGGCACTGTCACTCTGGATTGAGAAATTCATTAATGCACAGTATTTTTCTTTTCATGTAAAAGCTCACACACCTAAAGGAATACACCACCTAGACGGAAAATAACTTCCCTTTTGCAGTCAGGAATCTATGACATGGAAAACATGAAACAAACGGAGTCAAACAAGAGGGCCTCTCAACACAAGATCATGATTTGTATTTAAAATCTGATCTTCACTTTTCTTATAAATGAAATTGGTCAACTCCAGCAAAGAACTTTTTCCATACGCTTCAGTCCTTATAGCTTGTCCATACAATGAAAACTTTCCCACTAAGTTGACATTTTTCTTCCCAACAATTACGCCGATTAAATGGGCAAATGTACAAACTAATATTAAAAATTACCAAATAGGCTCACTGACTCTGACTCTTTAAATAAACGCAGAATAAGAAGTTCTGCCCTGACCAAAAAAATTATATAATAGAAAAGAATCAGAATCCTGGAGCAGAAAAGATTCATGAGCTAATATTTAGCCCGACCTTTTCATTTTACAGATCAGATATTCAAGGTTAAAAGTGAATTGCCCAAGGTCCCGTAACTGGTCAGTGAGAGGGATGAGTGAATGGAGAACCCTTGTCCACCGACTTCCACTCTGAGGCTTCTTCTACTCCCCTTGTGTTCTCTGCTTCATTTTCCCTCTGTCAAGCTCAGGATTAGCTGCTAAGGCCATGAAAGAACAACTCCCCCTCTTGGTACATATGCCCAGCGAACATCCAAAACAAAACAAAAAAACAGAATCACAGATACTCTCCAACTACCTTCTGCCTACAGGAACATCATCTTTTCTAGGCCCAACCAAGAGTGTGTCCACCTCAACTAAACTGCCATTTCAAATGAAAACAAATAGAGACCAATGTTGTCATTCAGTTTCAATTTATAACTACTTAAAATGCTCTATCACTTTATGATCCGGGTGGAAATTTTGCTTTTAACATTTTATGAGGTGGTAAGGAAGGTAAGTGGATTATGGAATTAATAGACTAGATGCTGATATATAAACCACTTGCGGGGTTTATATTAAAAACTGCTCAAATTCTAGTCAACAGAGAGGATGCTGTACTATGTTTATTTAGATGGCAAAGTATGGTGGCATTAACAGTACCTGAGACAATCCTCAGAAAAGTGGGACAATATGGAGGGGAAAGGGCAGATGAAGAAGCAGACCTCTGTGATTTCCTACTGCACTCAGTAAAATCAAACTTAAATTCTACTTCCTGACTGTCAGACAAAAAGCCCAAATAGAGGAGAGCAGCAACACCTACATATTTTTTAAAAATAATCCCATTCTGGCAGAATTTGGTCATCAAGAACTCTTACATGTAGCTGTTACCCAGACATATTCAGTCCAAGGGAAGTTGGGGACCCGTGGCAGTGAAGGACAAGTCTCCCATGGCTAAAGGATTTTAAACAGGGAAGTCATTCTGGAAGTTCTATCACCTTTCAACCACCTGAACTTACTAGTTCTCTAAGTATTAACTTACATTTCATCATCGACAAGTTACAGTCATTATTCACTTAAAGCAAACCAGAATTTGAAGAGGCTAGACTCATTTTAGGTCTCAAAACCATTTCTTCATGAATCCAGACAAGCCTTGATACAGATCTGTGAGTGAGTTCTGAGAAACAATCTTTAGAATTCCGTAAGTATGTCAGCCCAGGGGAACCCTGAACTTCCCTTTTGGAACCTTATCATTGATTTGTGCGACTCTGTAACAAAAGGCTTGGTTTCTACACTGAAAACTACCAGGTCAAAGGCTCTCATCACTACTAAGTGAGTTAGTCCTAAGCCATACTATGGGTTAGCAATAATCAACCCATACCCACAACCCATACTAGACTGCCTCCAACTACCACATAAAAAGCTTACCAGTGGAACAACAGCTCATTCAAAGCCAATTCAGAAAAAATACTGAAGTTGAACGTAAGGAGTCAACCACTCTTCTCGGAGTAAAGTATGTTCAGGCAAAAGTTTTAAAGAAAACAACAACGCATTAATCTAATCTTATGTGAAGGAACTGCAGTTCCTTAACAGGCTTGGCACTGTGTATACCACTGCTCAGCAATATAATGCTGGTGGATAAGGAAGTGTTAGCACCTGATTAAAACTTTAAAGGTGATTTGTCAAAGACCAACAGATAAAACATTCTGGTGCCCAGACATTAGGTCCCTGAATCCAGGTGGCTCTCTTTCTAACCAGTCTCTTGAAAAGCTACGATTGCAAGCTGTCAGCATAAAACTTTGCTTTTGAATATGTGATAACAACATTTGGAATGTGAACACTTCGTCCCTCGATACAAAATACATAAGCATGCTAAACAAGAAGAAAATACTTCTCAGGATCCCCTTAAAATAGACTAACTCCTCCTAATACAGACTTTCTTATGATACTCAAATATACATGGGGCTAAAATGCTACATATAACCAGGCAAGTCTCAATTTCGAAAATAAGCAGGTAAATGAAATGTCAGTAAGTCTTTTTTTTTTTTTTTTTTTTGCTGCTGTATCTTTTAAAAAAGCAAAATCAACTCACATTTAAGCACCAACTCCATGCAAGTAACCTGAACGGTTCAGTCTTTTTGTCATGTATGAGGCCTTTGGTTCTCCAACTACATGGGATCTGTGTTGTTAGCTTAAAAAATACAGAATTGGCCTTTCAAAAAAAAATAATAATCTACAGCAACCAATAAATAGTCTCAATCAACCCTGCTGACTGCAGCTGCCTTCTGAAGGCTGGGAAAAGGAGGTGGAGAGAGCAGAGAGAGGCTGGGAAGAGGGACGCTGCAGCTAGCTAGCTACATAGCAAGGAACACGCCCCCATCATGTCCTCCCTGCTCTGTCAGAAGGCGGGTTGTTGTCAGTCTCCTGATCAGGCTGCCTTAGAAACGATTTTAAAAAGGAGGCAGGAAGACTAACAACTAAAAAATGCCAGCTCCTTGAAAGGAGGGGCCAGGGTCTCTGGGACCTCCTCCCTCCCCTTCTTCCCAGGATCTTTCCGTATATCTAGAGGGGTGCAGGGCACAATAGGGGACAAGGGGTTTGCCCGGGACCAACGGCAGAGCACGCAGGAAACGGCTGGTTGTTATCTTTCCCTTTCTGTTTCAATCAAGAGCACTCCAGAGCAGCAACCCCCTTACCCCCCCCTTCGCTTCAGCCCCTAGCAGCTGCTCTTCCTCCTAGCATCCCCCATCTCATTCTCCCCCCTCCCCTACAATTCAAACTCCCCCTTCTGCATCCAATGGAAAACAAATGCGCAACGCCACTGGCTGAACCTGAACTCAACTTCCCTTCCCAGGGCAACTTTCCTTTTTGCTGGAGGGGGCTGAATGACGCTCATCAAGGCATCCCCATTCCCGCCCCGGTACTAATGGGGAAGGAGCAAAGCTCTTGACCCCTTCATCCACCTCGGGTCACCCTGTAAGAATCAGAGAGATAACCCTAACTCCTCCTTCTAAGGAATAACTTTGCTTCATAGCCCCCCCCCTTCTCCCAACCAAAAGCAACCACCACCACCAGCATAATAAAGTAAAACTGTCCCTTATCTAGTCTCCTCGCCCCAACCCTGCTTCCCCCACCCCTTCCAAGCCCCAGGATTGGCCTAGGAAAAGGTGGATCAATAGTGAAATGACGGAGAAGAGGAGAAGGGCGGGAGGGAGCTAGGGTTGGAGACTGCGTGCTCTCAGGCGCAGTGGGTGGGGTAGGAGAGCAGCTGCTTCCCCTGGGAGGATGCTGCCCAAGTCCCCCCACAAACACCTCCCCTCGCAGGGGCCCCCTTCCCCAGAGCTGGAGGGAAAGCCTGCCTCCTCTCCAGGGGGAATGGTGGAAAGCTGCTCCTCTCTGAGCCTAGGGGACAGTGGACTATTTTCCTCCCAAAGATGCCACTAATCCTTCATTCTAAAGGAGGGAAAGGGTGGAGTGAAGGTAGCGTAATTCCCGGCTACCAGCAGGCTAGAAACTGTAGCTCTGTAAAATGGGGGAAACAGACGGCTGGACGAGGAGATCACCGTTATCTTCAGAGGGAAAGGAGGGGAAGGGAGGCAAGGTGGAGAGGAAAGTAGATTTTTCCTGGCGGGGTGGGGAAGGAGGAGGAGGGAGGCTCTACCTGCGTGGGGTGGGGGGTGGAGGATGGAGGGTGGAGGTGAAGGAAGGGGGAGTGGCTGGTAGTGCAGGGACCTGGCCCGGGGATGGGGCGAGGGTTCACCAGGTTTTCGGAAGCAAGGTGCTGGAAGGGACATCGGTCCCCAAGGGGCAGGAGAAGAACGTGGCCCTGGACGAGGCCATCACCCGAGAGATGCCCAAGAGGAAAACTGCCCCAAGAGTAAAACATCTGCCCAGAGAGGGAGGCGGGGATGTGGCGGGATCAGGTCTCTAGGAGGGAGGGAGGGAGGAATCTTGCTCGGATGAGGTAATCTGTGAAAGGGAGGAGGGGTTCAGTCCCGGGATGGGAAACCCCGGCGAGGGGTCTGTGCCAAGGGATTTGGGGAAGGGTCAGGGGAATGAAGGGGGGGGCAAACGCCCTTAGCCAGATGGGTCCAAACCCCGGGGTGGGGGCGCCTGGGGGTCTGCACCCATGTACGGGGATCCCGAGATGGGAGGGCTGTTCGGCCCGGGTCAGGGACCCCAGGAGGGTCCCGGAATTGGGATGCTCCACAATCCCGGATGGGGGAGGGGAGGGGGGCTCCGCAGAGGGTCGAGACCCCGGACCTGGGGGTTCCTCGCCCCCTTACCTCTCCGCTGCCGCCTCCCCCGCCGCTCTCCCCAAACACAGCCCGGAACCGGCGCAGGTTGGTGCCGATGGCGGCCGAGACCTGCAGCGCCGCGTCGAAGCCCGGGCCCACCCGGAGCAGGGCCGGCCCAGAGGAGGCTGAGGACGATGACGAAGACGAAGACGAGGCGGACGACGAAAAGGCTGCTGAGGCGGCGGCCGCTCCCCCTGGAACCCCAGCCCCGCTGCTTCCCGCCGCCGCCGCC